ACCCTATGCACAATAATTTATACTGTACAACCAAAAATGTGAAAATATATTGAGAAAGTGCTCATGACTTACATACATATGCAGAGATTGAGAAGCCATAGAAACTGTTCCAAGACATCCCAGAGAAACACTATATAATTAAAGAAAAATTCTGCATTCTCTACCTGTACTCTGTTGTGCCTGCTTGCATTTGTGCACTTCGAAGTCCAGCTGGAGAGATCTAGTTCATGTGCTCGAAACCCATAGGACATTTAACTGTAACATTATTATTACTCATCTTCCTTGTAACTGTACTACATGACATAATTCTCTGTAGGTTTCATCTAATAGGCTTAATGTTGTCATCAATCTAACCGAATAATTATCAGAAAGGTAAGTTACCTAAAAGGTAAGTTACCTCACATACATATGCAGAGATTGAGAAGCCATAGAAACTGTTCCAAGACATCCCAGAGAAACACTATATAATTAAAGAAAAATTCTGCATTCTCTACCTGTACTCTGTTGTGCCTGCTTGCATTTGTGCACTTCAAAGTCCAGCAGGAGAGATCTAGTTCATGTGTTCCAAACCCATAGGACATTTAACTGTAACATTATTATTACTCATCTTCCGACTTGTAACTGTACTACATGACATAATTCTCTGTAGGTTTCATCTAATAGGCTTAATGTTGTCATCAATCTAACCGAATAATTATCAGAAAGGTAAGTTACCTATCGGGAGAGCAGGTAAATAATTCTTAACCACAAACTGTTACCTAGGGGAGCAGTTACATTCACAATCAAATAGACCCTGCTGGAGAAGAAATGATTGCTGCTAGCAACATGAACCCACTGAGACTTAACTTGCTTTTTACAGAGTCCCTACACAGCCAAACAGAACATGACACAAAGAAAGATAAAAGATGAAACGCTTCCTCACACAAGGAGGGTATATGTTTAATAGCTAAGGTATCTAATGTGAAATGAGGTTTATATTACATTTTATGCTTTCCATTCTTTGTACCGTATCTCTTCTGCCTGTTGAGCTTCAGCTTAACTTCCAAGCATTTTTAGCCTTTTTAGCATCGCATTCATATTGATTGTTATTTCTCCACAGCATGGAACACAGAACTCGAGGTCTGTCTTGTGCAGGTTTGACTCAGCTAAAAGGAGCAGGGATTCGTGAGCCGCCTGTCTGACAAGCCTATTGAGTGTCAAGGTGATAAATGGCAGTGTTAAGTGAAAGAGAGGGAATCTTTACCTTTATCAGCTGGAAGAAACTTGTGCCAGAAGAGGGGGCAATAACCTTCAGAAAGGCAGAAATATGATAGAAAACTGTTCTGTAATCTACATTTACAGAAATTTATGATTTTAAAAAGTGTGACACGGGTTTAAACGAGAAAGGAATTTACTGCTAAATGCTTACAGTTGGCATTTATCAGAACTTAATATATAACTTAAGACATTGCCATTTCAGAACGAAAATACGTTTTAAGCCTGAAGCTTTTAGAGGTTCACTAATATTACTAGGATTATTTCTACTGTTATGATGTTTGGAATTATATTGTTTTATTTAAAGTATTACGTACACATTCTCTTGGATGAGAAAATGATCTCAGAGGTTGTTTAGTTCCATTTAATTACTTTGAGATTTGATATAGGCTGCAGTGTAATTATTGTATGCTTAATCAGAATTTTATTACCTTTAATCTTTCATAGAGCAAGACACGGGATACAGACCCTGTGCTCACCTCAGTTTAAGTAACAGAAAAAGAAAAAAGTGACATGCACATGCTTCACAAAATTGTATCTACTACCTACATCTGAGGTCTTATATCCAATCTGAGAGGCTCAGCAGCTAATTAAGGAAAGATTGTAGGAATTTACTATACACTTTATAGAAATGCACTATAGCTTTTTAAGTCTTTGTTGAGGCTATTTTCATTCTGTTTTGATATTTTGTTCTGTAATTCTAAGTTTTAAACCTTTCAGAACCAGCAGCAGAAAGATACATTAGAGTGCTAAAGTAAAACCAAAATTAACTTGGCCTGGAAAAAACTCCACAAATATGTCATAATATCATTCTACAGTGTATCCTCGTAACAGGTTAAGTCAGAAAGATTCACAGAAAAAGACATAGGCTGTATTAATGTATTCATTGTTGTGATGCCTAAAACCATCTTTAAACTGTATTCAGGTGGGGAACAAGTTTAATGTGCAAATAAACATGGAATGTTCCACAGGTATAGAATAAAACACTATCTACTTTTTACACAGCAGTGCAAAGATTACATGAACACAAAGAATTAATGAAACAACATTTTTATTTCAAGCAATTGCTAACCTTTGATGCTACTTCATTTCAAAGGGAATTGCTGGGGCTCAACTTTACTGCAGGCATTTCAAAGAATGTTAAATTGGAGTACTATATCTGAATTCTGATTAATGTTTCTGGTATTTGCAGTGACTCTGTTCTAAATTTAACTTACTACATCTTCTCTGGATACAAATTATACATGTCTGGATACAATTATCATCACTCTTTCTAATGTCTCATGAACACTCAGATTGCAAAGGCAAACATGAGAGCCATGAAATGCAGATGACTGGACTGTTACAACATGAAAGGAGAATGGAATCCAAGCAACATACCTTCTTAAAAATAAAAGTTTTTACCAAAAAATCTGCAATGGATTGAAGGGTCTCCTGTTTAAGATTCAGCCACCTGACAGATGAGGGTGCTCTAACTTATTGAGGGCTTTCCCTTGTGATGGTTTCACACTTCAGTGTTCACCATCTTAGTGGAAGAGCACTTTATCAGTGTCACAGGACTGATCCTCAGAAATAGAAGGGAAATGAGCATCTCTCAGCCATTAGGTGCAGCATGGGAATTTAGGAGGCATACTGTATTTGTTCTATTTGATGCAAATTGGCATCCCAGTGTGCACTGCTGTGTTTATCGTTCCTGAAAGACTTCAACTATGCTGTTTGCCACAGATGAGCAGTGCTGGTCAAAACTTAAGATTCCACTTTCAAAACTATGAACTGAATTAGAATTTGTTTGCATTTGTGCATGAAAAGAAGACACTTTGCACGGTAAAATAGTTATTTCATTCTATCTCTGAAAGGAAAAAAAGATAACTGAAAAGAAAAAAAATGTAATTCAATTTATCGGACCATTCTAGATTTAGTTTGGTCTGTTTACTATATCCCTGTTCCTAGCCTCAATCCTTCATATTACATATTTTGCTATTCTGAGAACAGACAGTGTCATCAGAAAGTATTCAGAACCCTGCTACATTGGATTTTGACAGAGTGCTGTGGATGAAAAATTATGTTGGAAGCCTGCATAGCAATCCCATCAAGCATGAGTAATGGAAGCTGACTACTTATTGGAAACTTTTATTAAAGTTGTAACAGCCCTTCTTTGACTACTTATACAGATCAATTGCACTAAGCGTTGTGCTCTGATGTTGCAATGCAGGTGTCAAATTGAGACAATTATATATAATTATAAGTTTTAAGTACAAATGTTATTGTTGTTGCCACAACAATCACTGTAAAAATATGAAAAAACTTATTGAAAGCAATACTTTTTCTATTTCAGCCTCAGTTAAAGACAGTGACGCTGATGTATGTTAAAAACACTTTTTTTAACTGTAACCTAAATTCTTCAGCACAAAATACACCAACAATTCCAAATGTTGTATTGTTTCTAAATCTTGTCCAAATCTATCCTTTGTAATCACATCTATCCAGCATTTGAAATCTAGAGATCTTAAACACATTTCATATCTGTAGTTAAGTGCTTACATTATGTATTTACTGTGTTATATATATACATGTACATCTTGATAATTGTGATAACTGTATCCCTTTCAGTGTTTCATATAGAGTATTCACATCAGTATTTTCAAAGGATTGTAAACGTCAACTGTGTTTCTCCTGTTATATACTTAAAACAATCATTAATATTTTAGCATGAAGACATACAAGGAATATATAAAGCATATATAATTAATTTGACATCAAAATGTAGGTTCAATTATTTAAATTTTCAGTCTAAAGTTTTCTAATGTCCTCCTTCCAACAACTGTGGGGGAAAAATATGAAGTCAATATTCTACCTCTCTAATTTCATTAAATCAGTATTCCATACCATGGACTGTACATACCACTCAGGTTATTCAGATAAAAACATATTTATTTGAAATTAAACTTAAAATTGCCTACAAATATTAGGCACATAGTAAATGATAATATTGAAGACATGTTTCCTCAAATGCCTTTTTTATGTGGGAAAAAAGGTCATATGAATCATTGACAAAAGTATTTCAAATGAATTGAAATAACATCCCCTTCTTGGTCTATTGTAATACACAAAGTCTAATATACCAATACTGTCCAGTCGATTATTGTATTCTAGAATTTGTTTGAACACCTTTCATAACTCTATCTTGCCACATATCATTTATTCAGATCCGTACAGTTATCCCTACTGCATAAGGGTGTTACAGATGATTGTAACTAGATTAAACCACTCAAAACCTTTGGTCTATAAGCACTGTGATTCTGCATTGAGCTCTCATGCAGAGAGCAAGAGTGAAGTTTGTGTGTGCATGGAGATATCTATAAATTCACCTAATTATTCTGCAGCATTCCACAAAAACCTCATGCATTTCAGGAGTGCTGCAGCAAATTCCCCCAATTTAATGAAACTGCCCACACCAACTTGTTTAACTAGGAAAACAGGCAACCAACTGTTTCAAACACTCACTTGAGTATTGTTCTTTCTTATTGCTTTATTAGAATTGCAGAGGGGGAGCAGCCAAGTTTCAGCTATGAAGGAGTTAAAATGAGACTTTTTCTCCTCTCAATTCAGATGCTAGTAAATCACAGCTCTGCTCTTTCTAAGTCCTGTGCACCCGCTCACTTGTCAACTGCAGCTGCTGCTGTTGTAATGACATGGCAAGAGATTTACACAGAGGGAGAGAGTGAGAGAGTACTGGGATTACTCACGGTTTGCTGCAGGTCCGGGATCCCTATGCGGATGACGATGGCATTGCCCTGGGGTTCCTCCATGGGGCTGGTGGGGGATTTCTCGGAGGTGGCCCGGATCGTGTCGTAGATGGTGTCTTCTCTTGAGCTGTCCGAGTCCCCTTGGTTGCCGTTGGTAGCACACTGCTGCACCTCCTCCTGATGCTGCTGATCGGATGGCTCATGTTTGCCGGCTGCCGGACTCAGAGGCATGCTCTGTTAGTGTGTTCTGTCTGTGTGCACTTCAGAGTACTCGCATCACATCACTGGGAGGGGGACGGGAGGG